ACATCAACACGATCCCCATAAACATCTTGCATTCTCTGATGAACCTCCTTTTGGGTGACACAGGCATGTAGCCTGGGGGGGGGGGGGCTTTGGGGGCTTCAGCCCCCCCCCCCTGAAATTCTCATGGTGGTCTGCAAAAAGGCCTTACTGGTACATTATTTAAACTGTTATGTTTATTCATATCATGATCTGATCACCATGCTCAATATATCTCATATGCATGGGGGTATTGGGGTAACGATACAAAAGGTTTGCTAGGGTAGACCCTCTTTTACTCAAACTCACCCCCCCCCCGAATCAAAATCCTGGCTATGGGCCTGGGGTGACACCTTCTGCTGTCAAGAATTCAATGACTGCACGTTGCTTAAGTCGCATTGACCGACCTTCTGCGCAGGGTTCCATACTTCACACTTTAACAACACAACTGTTCAATGCTATGGCTTCCTGCCAAAATGGAACTGTAGAGGAGAGTCTACTGAACAAGCCAGTACCTGCCGCATACCAGTACTGCCATCTGTTGAGGAGTTACGAAGGTGGAGGCATTACGTTTCATTCAACCCTTGTACTGTGTAGGGTTCCATTCTTCGCACTTTAACAACACAACCATTCAATGCTAAGGCTTCCCGCCAAAATGGAACTGTAGAGGAGAGTCTACTGAACAAGCCAGTACCTGCCACATACCAGTACTGCCAACTGTTGAGGAGTTACGAAGGTGGAGGCATTATGTTTCATTCAATCCTTGTACTGTGCAGGGTTCCATACTTCGCACTTTAACAACACAACCGTTCAATGCTAAGGCTTCCCGGCAAAATGGAACTGTAGAAGAGAGTCTACTGAACAAGCCAGTACCTGCCACATGCCAGTACTGCCATTCGTTGAGGAGTTACGAAGGTGGAGGCATTATTTTTCATTCAACCCGTGTATATCCAGAGCACACTGTGAACCCAATGATGGATCTGGACCACACTTGGAATGCATACCCAATATGCTCACATTTGAATACTGGTGGGTTTTGAAGGACAAAATCACTTTTAAGACAAAAGGAAGGAAGGAATCACTCGGACGATTCTTTCTTATCTGAATGCGGGTTTTTTATTTATTTATTATTATTATTTATTATTATTATTTTGTCACTTTCTCTTCTCCATTTGAAGCTTGTTATACAAATGGCACTTACAAAAGTGTTCTTTAAAAAAAGGAAAACAAAAAAACAATCTTAACAAAATATACCAGAATGTGAGATGCTTTTTTAATAATATTTTTTTTTGTCAGAGCCACAAAAAAAAGCTGAGGAAGAAGGCAAGGAGAAAACTCCCGAGATGAAATCGTTTTTTAACACAGGAGAGAAGGCAGCGGGGTTACACAGCGTGACCCAAAACCAAACGTCGTCCGGGAAAGAGGAATCGAAGTACGCCGTACGCAAGGGACGAGGATTGGGAACGGATTCTCGGACTGTTGAACGAGCCGTTCTTGCAGCCAAAGTTTGCGCTGGCGTTCGTAAGGAAAGCACCCAATTTGAATGCTCCAGAAATCCCAAATTAGCCCACTTCTGTACCCATCCTCCAGGTGAGACTGCCCTTACCTACAAGGCAAGTTAACTCCAGTAGTTTGGAAATCTAGCACCAAGTATCCACGGCAGAAGAACCCCTTGTGATGGCACAAAGTGAGTTTTTTCAAGGCTCAAAGACTTTTGGCAGAAAGTAATAAGCCACAAGGTAGGCATGGGCAAACTTGGGCCCTCCAGGTGTTTTGGACTTCAACTCCCACCATTCCTAACAGACTGCCTGCTTTCCTTCCCCTAAGTCCAAAACACCTGGAGGGCCCCAAGTTTGCCCATGCCTGCCATAGGGGTTCTCAACAAGGCATGGAACAGATGGACTTTGGCGGGTTCAAAGCACCTTTCCTCTGAAGATGCCTCCAGAACGGAGCAAAGGATTGGGCAAGAGAGGCATTGAGCAGGCTGGCTTTAAGAGGGTACAGAGATTAATGCCCTATCTTCCCCAGGAAGGCATCCTCCATGAAGAAATGAGATGTCCATGATTACAAAACGTATCCAAAACTATTGAAAAGCCAAGCAGCGTGGTACAAATGTTTACGCCGGGTTATACAGTACGGATTGAAGATGAGCTCTGTTTGGAGAGTTACAACAAATAGGGAAGGGGGAATCGCACAGTTTTGATTTGAGACTGGAATTGTGAAGTATTCTACAGAATGGGAGGAACGGTTTTGGATAGACCTTCCCTCAAAAAAGGTCAATATGTTCGACTAGTAAGACACACACTCACACACAAGCCAGAAGCAAATGCCGCGACACGTATCCTCAGAACGACAACTGGCTGAGAATGGGGACATGTCGGTACGATGAAGGTAAGCTGTTTGGAGAGTTGTGACAAATAGGGAGGTGGGAAATCGCACTTTTAGATAGACCTTCCCTCAAAAAATGTCAATATGTTCAGCTAGTAAGACGCACAATCACACACAAGCCAGAAGCAAATGCCGCAACACGTATCCTCAGAACGACAACTGGCTGAGAATGGGGACATGGTGGTACGATGAAGCTATCCAAATTCAGCTTGAACATGTTTGGAGAGCTATGATAAATAGGAAAGAGGGAAATCGCACTTTTGATTTGGGGCTGGAATTGGGAAGTGGTCTGGTAAATGAGAGGAACAGTTTCGGATAGACCTTCCCTCGAAAAAGATCAATATGTTCAGCTGGTAAGACACACACTCAAACATAAGCCTGAAGTAAATGCCGCGACACGTATGCTCAGAACGACAACTGGCTGAGAATGGGGACATGTCGGTACGATGAAGCTATCCGAATTCAGCTTGAGATCAGCTCTGTTTGAAGAGTTGCGACAAATAGGGAGAGGGGAAATCGCACTTTTGAATAGACCTTCCCTCAAAAAAGTTCAATGTGTTTGGCTAGTAAGACACACACTCACACACAAGCCAGAAGCAAATGCCGCAACACATATCCTCAGAATGACAACTGGCTGAGAATGGGGACACGTCGGTATGATGAAGCTATCTGAATTCAGCTTGAAGATAAGCTCTGTGTGGAGAGTTGCGACAAATAGGGAAGGGGAAATCGCACTTTTGGAGAGACCATCCCTCAAAAAATGTCAATATGTTTGGCTAGTAAGACACACACTCACACAGAAGCTAGAAGCAAATACTGCGACATGTGTCCTCAGAACGACAACTTGCTGAGAATGGGGACATGTCGGTACAATGAAGCTATCCAAATTCAGCTTGAAGATGTTTGGAGAGCTATGATAAATAGGAAAGAGGGAAATCGCACTGTTTTGATTTGGGACTGGAATTGTCAAGCAGTCTGCAGAATAAGAAGAACGGTTCAATATGTTCAATATGTTCAGCTGGTAAGACACACAGTCACACAAAAGCCAGAAGCAAATGCCGCGACACGTATCCTCAGAACGACAACTGGCTGAGAATGGGGACATGTCGGTACGATGAAGCTATCCGAATTCAGCTTGAAGATGAGCTATGTTTGGAGAGTTGCGAAAATGTTCACGTCGGGTTATACAGTACGATGAAGCTATCCGAATTCAGCTTGAAGATGAGCTTTGTTTGGAGAGTTGCGACAAACAGGGAAGGGGGATCTCACTGTTTTGATTTGGGTATGGAATTGTGAAGTAGTCTGCAGAATGAGAGGAATGGTTTTGGATAGGCCTTCCCTCAAAAAAGGTCAATATGTTTGGCTAGTAAGACACACACTCACACACAAGCCAGAAGCAAATGCCGCGACAGGACAACTGGGTGACAAAAGGGGACAGAAATTCCAGCAAGGCTAAGTGATAAAGAGATGGATTGAACACACACTGTGCAAACGTTGCCCATTTTTAAAAAGCTTTCTAGAACTGTAAATTGAGATTTAGCAACTCGTTTCCTTTTTTTCTCCCCCAGCCACTGTCTAGAAGTGACCAGGAACGAAGGAGGCCGTCTCCCTCCGAAATGCACTCACACAAAGTATGGCTCGCTCCTTCCCGTTTCATTCTTCTCCTCCCAAACATACCTTGATTTCCGCACGCACACGCACACACGGAAAGCTACTGAGATACATGGCTCTCCTTGAGGCATGGGAAACTCTCAAGAAGAACCAGAAAGAGGGAGAGGTAACTTATTCATTAGGCAACGAAAGAAGGGGTGTCGGGGAATCTGGAACCGGTCAAGGAGGTGCAGTTGAGCCGGAGAACGGAGCAGGAGAAGCTTCTCCGGTTGAGCTGGTGGAGGCAATGCTCACTCTTGAGATGGAAACAACGAAGATTTTCCAAAGGAGAAATTGTGCAGCTTGATGCCTGTCCCATCCTAATGGAAACCGGCAAGGAACTGGACCCTCCAATTAGGGCAGATAGATCGGAAAGCTAAAGAAGACTCTTGTATTCTCAAGAGGGACATTGAGAAGGCAGTGCTTGGAAAGCAACCAGGTAACAAGAGGGACCCCTCTATATGTTTTCACTTGGATTACAAAAAGGGAGGAAGGTTCTATAAAGACTTTAGAAGTGGAGGAACCATAAGGCAGTGTCAACAGCTTCAGTAGTCCAAGAGAAGCTCAAGAGATGCTCCTTGGGGCACTTGAAACACTCAAGATTGTGCTGGGAAGAGACAGAGCGATGGAAAGTTGAACTATTCCGTCAGTTCTGCCGCCCATGAGATGAATGAACGGAGCTTCTGCAGAGTCCGCGTCCTACCCGAAGTTACTCCTTATGCCTACGTCTCTCTAGTTCCCATTTGCTTCATGTATTTGTTGATTTGTGCCATTTCGTCTCGAACTGATCCTTTGTCTTTACTCACAAACCCTTCTTAGGGTTTGCGGAATATGCCCGGAGACCTCTTCTCTGCTTTGGCTAGAGAAAGGAAGGAGCTCA